ATTAAGCTTTGTAACCTTGTGAAATAAATTTTAAAAAACTTACTTTGATGGGTTAATGTTTGCCGGTTGGTGCCCCCACTCGGCTTTGGAGTTTATCAACAGCTAGAGTTCCTTGCTCCTTTTGGGGGCTGCTTTATCCTGGGTCAGACCCTTTTCCATGCCTGTGCCACTCCATCAGCGACTTCAGTGTGCTTTGCTGTGTTAGGCTGCAGGCATCATCTGGTCAAGGGGGATTTGCGGGCATTGATGGCCAGCCGTTCTCTTTTCCACTCGGAGCAAACTGAAATCAGGCTTTTCCCTCTTTTTTTCTGCTTCAAACTGTTCCTTCAACAACCGGACTCAAATTAAGCTTTGTAACCTTGTAAAATAAATTTTAAAAAAACTTACTTTGATGGGTTCAACAACCGGACTCCCTCCCTTGTACGGCTGAACACTGCCCACCCCAAAGGCCAGGGCCCGTGATCTCACGTCTGCTCTTGGGATCAACCAATTGTCAAGTTGCTGCAAGCAGTAGCTTTTGTTCAGAAGTTGTGAGTTTTGAACCTCTGTTTCCAGACCATGGTGGTTGAACGATTATGGGAATTACAGTCTTAGGGTCTTTTGATGCAGCCTACAATCGCATGGGCTTTATTTGCTGCAGCATCACACGCCCGGCTCATGTGTAGCTTGTGATCTAGTGAGAAACGCCCTCCCCCCGCCCAAGATCCTTTTGGTGCCAGCTGCCACACCTCCCCCATCTGTTCGCCTGATTTCTCCTGTCTAATTGCAGACCTGCTACATGAATCTCGGTTGAAATTCAGCTTGTTGAGTTTAGCCCGGTTCTCTGATCTCTTAAAGCCGCAAATCCTGATCCTCTCTTCTGAAACGTCGGCCCAAATCCTGCTGGGCGGGTGGGTGCCGCCTGCGCAAGTAGAGTAACGCCCTTGGCCGCTGCAGGTGGGCCCCTTCTTCCAGACTTCCTTTTCTCATTTTGGGGCTCACACAACTTGGCCACCTTGCACAAATGCAAGCCCTGAAACAGACAAACAGTACCTGTGCGGCCGTCTGGCACGGCCCGTAAAATCACTTTTGCCACTGTGCTGCACAACCAGATTCCAGCCCTTTGCTCCTTCTCTTTGCTTGGTGGCGCCTGTGGGTAGGATGATCTGCCCCCTCCATGCCCTCATCCAGGTCATTGCAAGTTCTGACTTTATGTTGGCAGAAAGGAAACGTGTGTGTGTGTGTTTGTGTTTATGGGGACTTATTTAGAGCACCTGCCAGTCTGGGAAAATTAGAATATTACTTCATCTCTCCCCTTCTTCTGCTAAGCTTTTGCTGGATGAGATGACCTCACCGCCTGGTCCAGGCGTGTCCGAAGCAGATGGCCGGGCCTGGCAGATGGGCTGCCTGCCATGTCCAGCTCTCAGCAACCTCGAACACAGACCTCTGCGGATTGCACAAGAGGGCACGGACTTACAAGCAAAGGCACAACTTCCTGCCTCCTGGCCTAGCCGGTGGCTGCCGTCTGTCCTGCGGTGCAGGGGGCAGAGAGGTGACCCTGCCCATGCTGCAGGGGCCTGGATCCGGAAAGCAGAGGAGGCGGAAGGTGTGCACTATATAGAACGACAGATAGGTGTGTCTAAATTCCTGGTGGAAGGTGTGCACTATATAGAACGACAGATGGGTGTGCCTAAATTCCTGGTGTGGTGGAGGAGGAGGAGGGGGGGAGAGGGAGGGAAGGAAGGAGGGGGCATCCCATCATAAGCAGTTCTGGAACAAACAGAGGGGCTCTGAACCCAAGCCCCTCCACTGCCGTCCTATCCAGTCTAGACTATACAGAGGAAGAGGGTATAAAAGGGGACCCAGTGCAATTTCAGACAAACCATCACCCAACCCAGGTCAGGAACTAGCTGGCAGGGAGACGGGGCCCTCGGCTCTTTGATCTGCCATGGCACCCCCTGCAGGGAATGCTCCTAAAGCAATCCTGAGTGCCTGACACCCAGGCTTGGTCAAGGGTGTTTCCCTTGTCAAGTGGCCAGAGGAACATCCTGCCACTTGACAAGCGTCCCGTTTGAGATGACCCTAGAAATCAGCTGACCACAGCTGTCGTTGAAGACTTCTATCTGTTTGTATAACTTCTCTTCTCCGAGCTAAATAGACCCTCCTCTTTTTTATTTCCCCCCCCCCCATGTTCAGACCCATCATCATCATGCAGTCTGTGCATGATTCAGGTGGTTTCTCACCCTGTCCTACCTCGTGGGGTTGTTGTGAGGAGAAGGAGAGCCTTGTTATCAACAGCTGGGGAGGGGGTCTGTGAAGCTAACAGGGCACTACCCTTTCCTGCAGTGGGGGGGGGAGGAAACCAATAAAATTAACGGTAGGGATTGTTAAATGATAAAGGCCAAGCCACTTTCTGGGCCAGGAAAGCAGCGTCATCGCCAACCGAGGCAAAGGGGAGGAAACGGTCGTGAGGAGAAGGAGAGCCTTGTTATCAACAGCTGGGGAGGGGGTCTGTGAAGCTAACAGGGCACTACCCTTTCCTGCAGTGGGGGGGGGAGGAAACCAATAAAATTAACGGTAGGGATTGTTAAATGATAAAGGCCAAGCCACTTTCTGGGCCAGGAAAGCAGCGTCATCGCCAACCGAGGCAAAGGGGAGGAAACGGTCACCTGTTGTCCAAGCCACTTTCTGGGCCAGGAAAGCAGCATCATCGCCAACCGAGGCAAAGGTGAGGAAACGGTCAGCTGTTATTGTTTAGTCCTGTCCGCCTCTTCGTGACCCCATCGACCAGAGCACGCCAGGCCCTCCTGTCTTCCACTGCCTTGCGGAGTTGGGTCAGGTTCATGCTGGCAGCTTCAGTGACCCTGTCCAACCATCTCGTCCTCTGTCGTCCCCTTCTCCTCTTGCCGTCACACTTTCCCAACATCAAGGTCTTTTCCGGGGAGTCTTCTCTTCTCATGAGATGGCCAAAGTACTGGAGCCTCAGCTTCAGGATCTGTCCTTCCAGGGAGCACTCGGGGTTGATTTCCTTCAGAAAATGGATAGGTTTGTTCTCCTTGCAGTCCAGGGGACTTTCAAGAGCCTCCTCCAGCACCACAATCCAAAAGCATCCATTCTTCGGCGGTCAGCCTTCTTTAGGGTCCAGCTCTCCCTTCCATACATCACGACTGGAAAAACAGTTGCCTAAACCAGCTTAATACTGGACCCGGACCTACGGGTCTAAACTCACAAGCAAGGAGATTCCGTTAGGAAGAAATAAAAGGGGCATCTCTTAAAAAAAAAAATATTTTGCTCTCTTTGGGACAAAAGCCGCTCCGTAAGGAAATGGGGCCCGTTGGGCCACGGGAGACTCTCCTTGGGTGGCTTTTAGGCACCCAGGCCTCCTGGTCAAAGGGTGCCTTGGCGGTAAACTCCGTCCTTTGGCAAAAGAGGGCTGGGCTAGATGACCTCCAGGGATCCCCACCCCACCACCGAAAGGACATAACCCTGTCATTCTCTGACCTCGTCAGACCTGCTGGAAATCCAAGCTGAATGTCCGGGCTAAACATTTTTGTTTGGTAAAAATACAAATTGAAAAATGCATTGAATTTTGATGGAGGAGGTGATGGACCGGGCTGGGGTGGGGTTTGGGGAGAGAAGCAGGTGCAACATGACAGTAAAGTTACTTTTCTCTGGACGGTCCTGTTTTTTTTGGGGGGGGGCGGCGGTCCGGTCAAGAAAAGCTACCAAAGAGCGCCACCTTCTGTACACTGCTTTGTATCACAACCCATTCTCCCTCCTTGCTCCCCTTTCTCTTGCCATCCACATGATTCTCTTTATTCAAACAGATGTCATCAGCTTTTCTAAGGAAAAAAGTTTTAAACAAACCCTCACTAACTTCGGCGATGCACTTCTATTTAATCAGTTATTTTTGCCCAGAAAATATAGCTTGGAAATGTATTGTATCGCTTCCTGTTAACAAACGATTTATTTAAAAAATGAGGGCAAGGTTCGGGTTGCTTGGTAAATAAATAAATCACTGGGTGGGTCAAGCTGGCGACTCTTTTTTTTTCCAGGTGGGAAAGATCATGCTCAGGATGCAGGTGGGGACAGAACAAGGTGTGTGTGTGCGTACAGATGCTAAACAGTGTAAGTCCCCTGTATCCACAGTGGATCATTTCAAAGTCCCCTGACTGCGGATACTGAAAAACGTGGATTATAGCGAATGCTATTTTAATCGCCAGTGCTGTACAGGGACCAGTTCGGGTAACTTCATCTTTAGATATATGTATTTCTAGGATTTTTCTTTTAATATTTTGAATATTTTCAGAGCATGGATAAGGGGTCCCCATGGTGTAGTTAATCTCAGTCTTGCTTTTAGCGTGCAGAAGTTATCAGGGGGGTCTAACCAACTCCAGAACAAAGACTCTGGTGCCACTGCGGCCAGAGAGGACACACACACGCCCGGGGTGGACAAGCCCGAATTTGGAATGGCCCAGACCCACCACTTTCAGACAAGAGGATGGGTGCCACTGAGGCCAGAGAGGACCCCCCCCCCCCGGGGTGGACAAGCCCGAATTCGGAATGGCCCAGACCCACCCCTTTCGGACAAGAGGATGCTCAGCCCCACTTCATGCTTTCTACAGCCGGCAACTCTGCCGGCATTTCGTGGTTTTGCATGCATTTTGGGGGAGGCCACTAAGCCAAATCTCAGGAGAGAGGTTTGAAACAGTTTCCAAACCAATGCAGGACTGGTTGATAATGTGTGGAAGTGAACGTTTGGGGTTTTGTGTGTGTGTGTGTGTGTGTGTTTAGAGCCTGGAGAAATGATGTTGGAGTTCCATCCAAATTCCATCCACCCCCGAGCCACCATGAATTCTGAGAGTTGCGGGGGTTTTTTAAAAAGAAACTTTCCCCAAGTCTGCATTTCCCCCAGAACATTTAGCCTCCTTGCAAGCCGACCGGGTTCGAAGCTGCCTTAAGAGAAACCTCTGAGCACATGCTGAGCTCCAGCCCAATTTATTAAAAAGGCTCCAGCGCAGTGATCCTATAATTGATTTATTTCTCAGTATCACAACAAAACAGCTTGTGAAGGTTGTACGATAATCAGGAAAACACGCCAGAGAGAGGGGAAAGTTTTAGACAGTCAGTGGGGTTTCCAATATCGCATGGTGCATTCTCCCCCAATCCCCAAATCCGCCACTTCTCCCAGAGCAGAGATTTTGGGCTGGGAGCCCTGCTGGCTAGGAGATCAGGGCATCATCTTCCGGGGGGGTGGGGGGAGAGAAGTGGTTTGAAATAACCTGCTACCTTGAATGGCAAACCAGCTTGTTTTCAGACCTAAGGACATGGGTTTGTGCGTGAAGGAAGCTCAAAGTGGGAACACCCGGCCACTTGAAGAGCCCTCTGAATGGCTCTCAGGGGTCACACTTTCCTGTGGCAGGCAGTTCCCCAGGCCAAAGGCAGACGGGACCCAAACAGCTTGAAGGCTCTGTTGCAGGTGATTAACTTGGGAATGGCCTTTCTCCTCTCCAGGGGAGGGGGAAAAGAAGGCCCATCGGAAAGCTGGGAAGACCGCCAAATCATGGTGCCATGAAATAGAGAGGGCACGTCCCGATCCAGACCGAGGTGTCACTCCTGCTTTCCCAGAAGGGAGCGTAATTAAAAGAGCAGAGGGCGGGGGCCAGCGGGGGCCAGCAGGAGCCTGAGTTTCTCTGGAGCCGGTTCTCAGGAGATGCGAGGATCCAGGCGGCGGGCTTTCAATTTCAGAGAAATTCCCAGAAAGAGGGTGATGGATCCCACCCATGGCCGGCGCAAAGACGCCCTCTCCCTCTTCCACCCTGTGGCGCCCCATCCGGCTTCTCCTTCCCCCCGAGCCGCGGCCGGTCAGATGTTCTGGCAGCACGGGGCTTGCCTGGCGTCCTGGTGGGTAGGCAGGACGTTGATGGGCTCAATGGTGGTGGTGTTGCTGCTGAACTCCGTCTCCGGCTGCCCACTCGCCATCTGCTTCTGGGAGACGATCCGGTAGATTTCTGGTGGGAGGGGGAAAGGCGTGGGTCAATCGGAGGCGGGGGAGGGAACGTGCCAGAGCGAGGGTGGGCTACCTCCGAGCAAACCCACCGGCCACGTCCCTCCATCCCAAAATGACACCGTTCAGGATTTCGGAGGACCGCGCCCCGGTAGCTAAAGAGGCATCAGCCTCCTCTGAGGGTATGGTGCAGGCAACCCTTTTCCTCTCCTGTAAAATGATGCCACGTCAGCAGAACGAGCATCCGTCCCTGGGAACTTCGTTGTTGTATTAAAGCCACTGCACTCTAAATTCCCCCCAACCAGCCCGGCCTGATGGAGGGGGAAACTGCACCGCCGAGGAGGTGGGACCGCCTCCCTCCCTCCGCTATCAACCCAGAAAGAACGACTCAATGCCCAGGGAGGTTAGCCGGTCTTGGAGTCTGAGTCTCGGGTCCGAATCTTTGGCACCAAGTCCCTGACTCCCAAGCCCAAAGTCTGAGACTCTGTGGAAGACAAGCTTTTCCCCCCGGAACAAAAAGGGAAGACAGGATGGGTTTCGAGTCGGAGCCATCGGGAAAAACGACAACCCCGAGTCATTGGTGTGACTTGACAAGCGAGTTGCATGACTCTGCTAGGGCCAGGCGGGCAGTGAATCCATGCCAGCTTTTAGAAGTCACCTCCAGTGTTGAAATTATTCCAGGGAGAAGAAGATTCAGGATCTTAGAGGGCCCTTGCAAATTTCAGACCCAAACCCGGTGTGGATAGACCACCCCTATGAGATTGGCCTCATGAAACTTGGCAGAGCAACTCGGGAGCCGACCGATGCAGCTGGGCTTCAATGAAGAGCAGGTTCAGCCATCGGCAAAGGATGATGGGTGTTGTAGTGCAGCAAAATCATACGGGCCAGGACAGGTTGCCCGCTGGAGCTGTGACTGTGTGTCCGATTTATCTTTGCCTCGGGGCCACAATCAAACAAGGGCCTGCTGCACAAACTCCATGTACGGCTCGTGCTTCAGACAGAGGTTCGAAGCATGGGCCGTTCGGTCTCCACCTCACCCCCATGCACCCCCCGCATCCCAAATTCACCCCAGTGCTGGAAGGTGGCCATTTTGCAAAACACGGAAGGAGAACTGACCTGTCAAGATGTTGTGGAAGGCTGTTTCCACGTTGGTGGAATCCAGAGCCGAGGTTTCTATGAACGACAAGCCATTTTTTTCTGTGCCGGGGGAAGAAAAAAAGAGGGGGTCAGAGTCCCAGGCCTGGTATGGATGCAAGACGCCAACCCTTTCGGCCATTTCCGCTCCGTCCATTTCCAGAAACACAGGGGGCACGGATAAAACCGTGCCCATCCGGAGGACCTCCAGGCTATTCCAGGATACAAGTGGGTTTGCAATGGGTGTGTGTGTGTCAGGATTCCCTCCGCCCAGGCCGGATGGCAGCTTTTTGGGGGAAGACAGCAAACATTTCTTTAGCGCAAGATGAAAATCTCGTCAATATAACCCTTTGGGGGATGGGAGAGAGAGAGAGAGAGAGAGAGAGAGAGAGGAAATCTGCCCACTCTGCAAGGAACGATCTCACGGTTAAACGAAAAGACCTCCGCCCTCTGCAGTGAGAACGCCGCTCCTTGATGCCGCAGAAGAAAGGGAATAAAAGAGAGAAAGGCGGGACGGCGCAGACGGAGCCTTACCGGCAAAGCTCTTCGCCTCGTCGGTGGGCACAGCCCGCAGGTGCCGGAGGTCGCTCTTGTTGCCGACCAGCATGATGACGATGTTGGCATCGGCGTGATCCTGCAACTCCTTGAGCCAGCGCTCGGCGTTCTCGTAGGTCAGGTATTTGGCGATGTCGTAAACCAACAGGGCCCCCACGGCTCCCCGGTAGTAGCTGCCAGAAGTGCAGAAGAGAAGGGGTGAGGGGGGGGGAAACTCTTGAACCTCTGGATAGCTGTGGAGCCAGAGTTGGGAGTTCGAATCCCACCATCCCTGGGGGCCTGGACTGGATGATTCAGAGGGTCCCGTGGTCTCAGCAGCCGCAGGGAGGTTGAGAGGGGTGAAAGAGGGCAGAGAGGAGCAGGGTCCAAAGCTCGGAGGCACTTACGCAGAGGTGATGGCCCGGTAGCGCTCCTGGCCGGCCGTGTCCCAGATCTGAGCCTTCACCATCTTGCTGTCCACCTGGATGCTCCGGGTTGCAAACTCCACCCCGATGGTGCTTTTGCTTTCCAGGTTGAACTCATTTCTGGTGAAGCGAGAGAGGAGGTTGCTCTTCCCGACACCCGAGTCTCCGATGAGAACAACTGGGAAGAGGGGGGGAGAAAAAGAGTTTAATCATCACGATCACCTCATGGTTACTGATTTGCTGCTCTGTGCTGGAACAGACTTAAGAGCCACCCTAAGAAGGCTTTCAAGGTCAGGGAGAGCTTTAAGGAGTGGCTTTACTAACTCGGACATCCCCAGTGAACTTCCATGGCTGAGGGGGATTCGAACGCAGGCCTCCCAAGTCTGTTCCTCTATCCACTACATCCCACTAGTTAATAACCATCACGATAAATTTGTGGTTGTTGTTATTATTAGCGCTGTGCAGATCTGAACTGCCGGCTGCAGGACCCGTCTTTCCTGAAGCAGCATGGGCCCGTGGCAAAGGATGGGTGTCGTAGTCAAAAAAGGTGGGAATTGTAGTCAAAAAGAAAGAGTTCTGCAAAGTGTCGTCCTCTTTGCCTTTCACAAATAGCTTTTGGTCTGACTTGTCGACGTTTCAGGCAAAGCAGCCAACGAATTTGAAAAATTAAAAGTGTGTGTGTGTGTGTGTGTGATAGAGAGAGAGAGAGAGAGAGTATAATAAAGCCAGATTTTCAGGCGCAGCCCTAAGCTTCCTTCTCTCGATACAGAGACCGACCCTGTTTTCTTCCGTCAACAGGAAAGGGTGGCTCACCCACAGATTCCTGCCAAATTGTCCCCAGGAAAACAGGTTGATCTCCCCGGGTGATGATGCATCTTCACGGCTCCTAATTGCCAATTAGATTGCCAGGTTGAGTTTGTGAATGGCAGGGAGTAGAACACCTTAGAAATGACAGTACAAATGTTTTCGCCCCGGCTCTCCGTATTTATTGCGATTCTCCATATTTTGCTGGGGGTGGGCCTGCAACTCAGATTCTTGGAGGTGGGCCTGCAACTCAAAGCCCTTTTGCACTACTCAGATTAGGGCAGTTCCTCAACTACTTTCCCATATTTTTTTTACCCTTCCGTCTCTCATCCAAAATCCCTTTATTTTGAGCTTTGGGGCATTTTTGAGGGTGGGGTTTTCAGACCTCAGAACTTCCTAACATTCAGTTTGGCCGTTTTTGGACTTCAGCTATGAGTCCTACACTGTGTGGTGTAGCAGCGGATAAAAAGGACAGGACTCGGGAGATGTGGGTTCAAATCCACAAGAAGTTGAAGTGGAATCTTCCTGGGAGGTGACAATGGGAAACTGCTCCTTGACCATCAGGCAGGCCAGGAAAACCCCAGGGGGGTTTCGATAAATCCGAGCGTGATTCGGGAGCCAGGGCAGGGACTTTGCTGCGTCTGCGCTCTAGCTTCTGCTAATGCCCGATGGGTGGCTCAGGGTCTCTGCTCTCCCTCTGTGGGGTTATTCCTTTTAAATCAAACTTGGCCTGGATGGCACTTCAGATGGAGACCCCTTGTTTGAGGAGGCTCACCAGAGAGAGAGAGAGACCCTCCCTCTCGGTCTTCAAAAAGGCTTCTGGGCTCAGAAGCATGATTCTGTAGCTCAGGTAGAAGCGAGGTGGCCCGAGAAATCCAGGCAGCCAAACTGGAAGGACTGGGTTTTCTCCTCCCGATGTCAGCAAGCGGAAGGAACGATGGATCACCGGGCAGCTCCTCTCTCACACACAAAGCATGAATCATGCCTTCTTCTGCACGGCTGTCCTCCTCGCTGAAAAGGAGAGTTTGCAAACCGAAGAACCGGGATGTGGAACCGAGCCGAGGGTGCGGAGAAATCCCGTTGAAGGTGTGCCGTTGGGTTGAATGAAAAGGAGGCGGGTGAGGAGGAGAGAGTCCCCGAGCTGTGAGCGATCGATCGTCTCGTCGTGACTCATCCGTGCCGCTGGGGGTGAAAAGCTTAGCGCTGAAGAATGACTGAGCAGACCTATTAGGAGGGTCTCCCTGGGAGGATCCTGAAGCAACCCCCATGGGGCTTCTCTTACGTATGTCCTCAAGGGATGCCCGGTCCCTAGAACGGCAGAGTTGGGGAGGGATCCCCAGAGTCCTGAAGGCTGCACCCCTTAAAAGACTTCTGGACCAACTTGGTTTAGAAATGGAAAGGGTGCCATTTTTATCTCCTACAACCCCATCTGCCTCTGCCCAGATGATTAAAAAGAGGTGACCAAGTCCTGGGGAGCATTTCAGGGGGATCTGAGAAGCCTGTCCGGGGTGTGTGTTGTGGGTGACTGGCTGGCTGGGGGTGCAAGAACAGACACTCACAGTCTCCAACCCTCAAAGCCACAGGGACTGGCCAAGGGGTGATTAGAACCCACACCAGAGGGGAGTCTTTAGAGGATCCTTCTTTGGAGGTCACCGTTTGCTGGGGGTGGGCCTGCAACTCAGATCTTGGAGGTGGGCCTGCAACTCAGAGCCCTTTTGCACTACTCACATTAGAGCAGTTCCTCACCTACTTTTCCATACAACATATCTGCCAGGTAACCAGTACAGTTGCTGCCCCATTGAAGATTTAAGGGGAAGAGATGGAGAGGCTGGGGGGGCGACACTTTGAGGTGAACCCGTTTCCAGAGATAGTTTGTGGAATCGCACCAAACTGGAGTGAACTTCGCTTTGAAAAAAAAATATATTTTTAAAGTATATCCAGGAGGAAAGGTATTAGTTATAGGAAGCAACACATCCCAACAATAAAAAGTTTAGTGATAAACTTTTATGTGCCCGAAACATTTTCAGGCTGCTGCAACCCACAAAAACACACACAGCAAATACAAATCCATTTGGAGCTAAATGCAGTTCTTTTACCTAGTGAGAATGGATCTGTTGAATCAATGGGACTTACAAGGGAGGTGACCTAACTAGTCGGCCGAAATTTATCCAGTGGGTGGCCAAGGTATATTGGGAGAGGATCGCACTTAGCATCCGCTGCTGCCACACAATGCCTCTAGCTTGTGTATGTGAAAATAATCAGTAAGTTCAAGATCCATGGGGGGCTGCAGCTCGCCATGTTAACAAACTCCATTTACTCAGTGGTGTAGTTGGAATTCGCTCTTCAGCCTTTAAGATGCCGACTCTGACGTTGACAACAACAGACCCACAATTTCTGTTCAGTGGTGCCTCGCTTGACGATGTTAATTCGTTACAGCGAAATCGCTGTAGAGCGAAAACATCATCAAACGGAACAAAAAAAACCATTGAAATGCATTAAAACCCGGTTAATGTGTTCCAATGGGCTGAATACCTGCTCGTCCAGCGAAGATCCTCCATACGGCAGCCATTTGCGGTGCCTGTATAGCGAGGAATCCGTCCTAGAAAACAGCGGGGGGCCATTTTGAAACCCGACGATCAGCTGTTTGCTGATCGTCGTAAAGCGAAAAATTGGTTCCCGAAACAGGGAACTGATCAACATGAAGCGAAATTCTCCCATTTAAAACATTGTTTTGCGATCGCAAAAACGTCGACGTAATGCGGATTCGTCGTAGAGTGGGGTAATCGTCCAGCGGGGCACAGCTCTAGTTTTCTATGGCAGCAGCAGCTGCCTGTCATGAAACCTGGAGGCCGAATTGAATGGCCACAAGCCTTCAAGTGGAAAAGCCACAAACCTCTTCCATCGACACGCCTGGGGCCACGTCTCCAGCCACCCTTTCTAGTAATCACTTTAAAACCCAGAAAACAGGAAAAGCACGGTTTCTATTCTCTCTCTCTCTCTCTCTCTCAAAATAGGTAACACCTCATTGTACAACTCTTGCCAAACCTGAATTTCACACTGCCCCCCCCTTCAACGGCTGCACTTCTATCCAGGCCCTTTCAGTTGCTTTTAGCTGAACACCCCACACCAGAAATTCAATTTAAGGAGGGCAGGAGGGGTGCCGGGGAAGGTGTGTCAGCCATCCTCCTCGACCTGGCCTTTTTTTTGAAAGGATGTCACACGGGACAGGAGGGACCAAAGAAGAGATTCACAATAAAACCCCACTGAGCTGGGTCCCATTTTTAAATGAGATGCAAGACTTCAGCAAGCCGCGGGTTTAGAATTCATGCTTTGGAAATGTGCCGGACCATAAGCTTGGCACAATTTAATTTTTCATTATTAGTATTTTAAAATTATTATTATTATTTTAAAAAATGTGGCATCATTGTAAAAGGCCGGGCCGAGGAGGACCCCTGACTGACTCCTTCTCAGGTACCCTCCTTAAATTAAAAATTTAATAAATAATCATCCTTATTTAAAAGGCGAGGAGCAAGAAGGTGTTGTTTGGGAGATTGCCTTTTCCAAGCTGTGAAATGGAGCCACACGAGAGGCCCGTAAAGGGAAGTGCTGTCCTGGGTGTTGGGGAGGATGTCGTTGATTTCAAGTAATTGGCAAACTATTTAGAGCATGTCGCTTTTAGCGGAAAGGGGCGGCATAAAGTGCAGAAAAAAAAGAAGAAGTAAATAAAGGAGGAATCTGTAAAAGAGCGGAAGGGCGCAAGGCAGGGCCAGGGAGAAGCTTTTGTGGGGCTCCAGCGGAAGGCAGGGACCCCTCCACCCCCTGCAACAGGGGGTGAAGGGCACAGGGCATCCGAGCTCCCCCCCCAAACTTCCCTGGGGAGGCGACTTCGTAGGGCGCTCATTTCCTAGGGGGAAAGACCCTGGGGAGTTGGGGGCGAAGGCTGCCAGTCGAGACCCCAGAATGGAGACCTTGGCCCACCTCACAAGGTTGTCGTGAAGGCAAAACAGCCCGAGGTGTGGGGGGAGAGAAATCAAGCGCTTCTCTCGAGCTATCAATGAACTAGGGAAGGGGGCATTTCGGAAAGAAGCCCCGAGACCCCCCCTCAAGACCCCAAGAAGAGCCAAGGGGGCCACCTTTAAAGGAAGGAAAGCCTTTAACCCCCCCCCCAAAGTAGAGAGACAGGAAAATCTGGGGGGTGGGGGTGG